CCCTTCGGAAGAGAACTGTGGTAGTGTGTGGGCTGGAGTAATACGGAAAGCACATTGGAATGACTTTGATGTGGGGCACAGAGATGTTTAATTTCATTAGAAGAAAAATGGTAACAGGACCAAATGAGATTAGAGCAAAATATGCAGATAATATATCTGCAATCAAAGGTTATTAAACTTCTGTATTCATGTGACATAAAAATTATTTTGACATTTTAACATTAAAAGCACCAACTTACGCGATGACTCTTCGTTCAGGTCCAAACTCTGCCTCATAATAACCATCCTTGCAGTCCTTACCCACCAGGTCATGGGGATGCGGTTTATATGGGTCGCTTTTGGTTACCAGGGTAACACGTACTTTTCCTTTCCTGGTAACATTTAGAATCTAATAGGGAGAGATATATAGAATCACTTAGTAAGTAACATTTTCCTTAAAGTCTAATTATACAGTCAGTTCTTTCTTTAGTGGTATAAGACTTTAGAAGCAGGTACCTGAATGCTTGGGTAGGTTCTGTTATTGTCTGAGCTTCTTTCTCCAGGTATGCTGCCTGCTGAACGACCCTCACATTTATATCTGAAGCGCATGCCTCTCTGTTTTGGCTGCTCGAAGATCTGAGCACAGGGCTCTCCCACTGCACAGACCGGCAAAATGACGTCAGTCAGAGATGTGAATTTCATTCATTTAAATATTAAAATGATTCAAAAGCATTTCAAAAACTTAAATGAGTCTTATAATTTATTAAAATGCCAACACTGAAGATGCATAAGAATAAGATAATGGGCTTGAAACACCTGCAGAAACAACATCTTGTGTCTTTCACAGAACCTGACCACAAACAACCCAGCCTGCTGGTAAATAATTTCCCACTCTCTGCACCTGTCAACACAGACCTTTACCAGCTCATCCAGGTGCCATTAAACTAAGCATATCATACGTTCTTCAAACACCTGCACAAACAGCTGCATTTGCCATGCAATATATTTGGTTGTTTTTAACACACTTGCTTCTGACATTGACAAGAACATGAGAGATCATGAGAGATTTGCCTACGCATTCTTACACTGTGAAATGTCATAAAAGAAGCTGGGGAAGCTATTAAATCTATGGTTATAATGCATGAAATAGATCTAATGTATGATTTAGTGAAGGGTACAGATGACACTCACTACTGTCTGCTCAAGAGATTTGTCACTTACAGGAAGTTATATCTTTATCAAATAAAAGAGGAAGTAAGGTAAGGAAATCTGAACTTTTTTTTTTTTTTTTACAAGGGCAACGTTTAAACATACTTCATGAGTAATCAGGCAACGTTTATGATCCACCCTAAACTTGACTCAAAACATGTTACTAACGTTAGTAACGACAGAATGCGTTTCACACTTGGCACAGACGAAGATGTACTTACTTAGATTGGGGTCCCTGTGCATTGATAGGGAACGCACTGTACAGGAAAGCATGGATAGAAGAACATAGATTAATACAATCAGCTAAATATATTGTAATCCATTTGATATTGTACAAGAATGGACAAACGTGCAGATGAGAATAAGAGAGCTGAAGCTTAAACTTTTTTTTTTTTAAGTTCCTCATTTTTATTTCCTGGTGTTACTTGGTCCCTCACGTATTCATGTACTGACAACTCATTTGATTTGTTTAGTTTACATAAGACTTATCGTCAGTTTCGAAGTCTTAACTTTAGAAATTTGTTTTCAGGTAATGCGAATCATATTGCTTTTCGCAAGTGATTTCTGCGATTGTACGCTTCCACAAAGACAACTCTGCTTTTTATTTCCTGTAATATATAAAACTACGAGCCTGTATAGTTTTTCTTAAACAGAATCAGATTTGAGAACAATGTAGAACAGGTTATATTGTAAGATTACATATTACACTGATCAAGTTTTACAAACCCAAGAAAACGGAAAATAGCATAAAAAGTCATTGTTGTTGAGAGGGATTCTACATAATAAAAATTATGAGTTGGTAGATTAAGTATCTTTAAATGGCTAAACGACTCAAAACAACGGTGATGTTCTGAATCGATTATCTATTACACAGACTTAAAGACAACAAAGAGCAAGAAAGGGAAAAGAAAAAGACATTTGATTAATTTAATAAATACTGATACTCACCATCCATGTTATGCGAACACCCTTGTCTTAGGTTTTACGTCCGAGCTCTAAAGTGCTGAACAGATATACAGTAACACTTCAACACAGAAGAGTAGGCCTACTGACGGGGAATTCCCCCACTATATACAATATGCCCGCCCACATACCACGTCACGCCCCTCTGTGGCAAGCCGGTTTAACAGTTATTCTTAATGTACTAGCAATAAATCACAACACAATAGTGACTTTTCCAGTTTCGCTAATAAATATCTTATTAGATACTAGTATTTTCTTTTCTCATTTGCTACTGCTCACTATTTCAATAGTAACTATTCACTTTCACATTTTTTGCCTTTCATGAATTATATGCATTTAAATTGCTGCTGATACTAACTGCAGTTTTACTAACAGCTATGCATTAGATGCAAGTACTTGTTCTTTTGTTGTAACTTTTCATATAGTTATTGTCCAGTTTTCTTAGTTCTAATTAAATAGCCACTAGTCTCTATTTATTAGACACTAGCGTTTATTCCATTTGTTACTAGCTAGTAACTACTAAGATTTTTAATTGAACTATAAAGTAGCCATTCTAATTAGTAATTGCTTATAAAAAGCAAAAAAAAAGAAATTGCAACTAGTAAAAAAATGTTAGTAGAAACAAGTAGGATAGACTCTAGTACTATTTTAAAAAACACTAGTAATACCAATACAGATAGGTGGATAGTTACTAGTAACTAAGAAACAAACAAAGCATAACATCAAAAATAAAAAGTTTTTAAAAAGTTTTTTTTTGTTTTGTTTTTCTTTCTGTGTTGATAACATTTTGTGGAGCCTAATTAACACTTTCAGTCTTGCAATACATATGCCATTGTTAAAATGTTTTTTGCATAAATTTTCATTCATTAAAATAAGGTTTGCGCCAATAATATAAAACCATATTAGTGCAAGAAAGAAATATAGAGAAATATTAGACATTACAGATTTAATTTATGCCAAAGACTATATGGAAAACTGATTAGCCAACATGGTACCAGCGTTCCAGGCATTTAATTCTGCCAGTAGATACCTACACCTATTTTATATATTTCATAGATGATATTACTCCCAAGAAAAATTTTAAAGGTACAGATATAATTTGTTGTAAAGTAACCTAGAAAATAAACCCATGGCAAATTTCATGCACATGCACACACAACTGAGTTAGTAAATAATAATAACAATAATAAAAAAAAATTTATGGAAGCTCTAAAAATGAGCAACAGAGGCTTGAGATGGGATGTGTAAAAAAATTAGTTATACACACAAGAGTGTTTTAGAGACAAAAACCTGAAATGTCTTGAAATAAATCGACATTTTGAGGTGTGCTATCTGTAGTATAAGCAAAATAATTGACTCAGTGTTGTTGAATTATTAGAAATATAATACACACCCAAGGTGGTAATCCCGCCACAAAGCAAGCAATATCATAATTTAGGTTTAGGTATCTACCGGCAGAATTAAATAACTGGGATGCGGGTAATATGTTACTCAGATTTGCATATAGTCTTTAGCATAACTTAAATTTGAGATGTCTATTATTTAATGACTAATATTCCTCTCTCTCACCCACTTTATGTTAGTGACCCATCGTCAATTATTCCTTACATAGTATCTAACTGAACAGATAGCAGTCACTACTGGATTACATATTAAATACCAAATAAGTACTAGATATAAAAATAGATACTATTTAAATATATGTTAATAAGGCTTGCCATACTCTTCAGCGTACGCACAGTCAATCAAACGATGTGCATTGGGCGACGTAAAATTCAAATTAGGCAGAAAGAAAACGAGAAAAGTCAAGGTGCTTGTAATAATTAATGTATTTACTTTACTTTCCATTTCAACCAATAAGAATACGTTTTGAGATTTTGAAATCCCACGAAAAATTTAATTTCTTACAAAAAGTTTCACTTCAGTAAGTCAGAAACTCGCTGGGATTTTTTTTCACTCTTTATGTTCTCCTGCTTATTTAATTGATTATAGAAATTTCCTCTTATAATACAGACTTAAAGATGCGGTTCATCAAAGAATGAAAATACTATCGCCTTTATGTTGTTCCAACTCATCGTGCATTTCGTTCACGAAAGGAGACATTAGTCAAAATGACAGCTCCACTCACCATTCATTTTCAATGCATGGAAAAAAGATGCAGCGATATTGAATGGTGACCGCTGTCAGCCCCTCACATTTTGCTTAAAATCTCTTTTTGTAGGTCCACGTTAGAAAGAAAGCCTGTGGAACAGCATTAGGATCAGAAATAACGACAGAACGTTCACTGTGTGGTGAACTATTCCTTTAAAGTACCAATGATCAACTTTTGAAAGAAAAGACAGTTTAGCTTAACAGTGGGCATTGTTATTAAGACTGAATGACCAGTCGCTCAAACTGTTTTTAAAATGGACGCCGCTTGTAGGCTATTTGCTGAAGTTCACGCAACTGTTACTGGTTAGGGTAATCCCCTGTACGCAGTGGGAATACCCCACAAACAAGAAAGTTTGTCCAACAACAGAGGATATACACTTCTTAGAGAGAAATTACGCTTTGACTTGAATTGTTAATTACAAAGATATGTACCCATAGGGTTATAACTTGGTGTTGAAGCATCTATATGAAGACAATGGTTAACGCGACGTGTGTTTACAACCTCATTACTAAAATGTACGTCACAGGGGTCGCCCATAGTCGATGACGTCATGCTAAGCAATGACACTTATCATCTGATAGTCTACACTTGGTAAAGAATAGGTATATAAAGGCCCCGGCTTTTCTCCTTGTAATGCAAAGACCACTGTTTTGAAGAAAAAAAAGAAGACAAAAACCACAGGCGCCACTTTGGGGGTTTGTGAATTTTATGTTCTTAATGTAAAGAAGGCATTTACATTACATACAAAAATACCCTTTCGAATACAACTTTTGCCCTACAAAAAGAATGACAAGTAGATTTTTTTTTAAATTGTCCTAAAGGTAACAGGAAGATTCAAACCGAGATTAAACTAATGTCTAGAGGAATAAGAAGTTCAACAATACCTGTGATATAAAAAATGATAATGGTACAAATAAATAAAATGTTAAGAAACCCCAAAATGAACAGTAAGTTTCTGTTCTCTGTACACCCCAACAGGGTAGGACAGAAGCTTGTGGAAAGAGGGGGAGAGAGAGAGAAAAAAAATAAGGGGGGAAATCATGGAAAGAGGGCAGAAATATTATTTAGTCTCTGTTCTTGAAGTTCAGGAGACACTGCCATTCAGACCTCCATGGGAGGCGCAGGGGTGATGCCCTAGACGCAGGGAAATACAATCATGCACATGCAAAAACCAACACCGACTCTGTTATCATTTAGCAAACAATCGAAAACATTGTAAAACCAAACTTGCCTTTAAATTTTGGCCCAACAAATCCAAACCTCTGATCTAATACTGTTCTTTTGTTCTGAGCTGTTAACACAACTATGGAGTGGCAGCAGCGTTTACTGTGATAGGTAACGGAGTCATGGTTTTTAGTTACTAATGCTGGTCCATCTATACACACACATACGCACCCCACACAAAAGGTCCTCCCAGAAACTGTACCAGAACCAATACAGTGAATACAAAAAGACTGCAAGGAAAACCTTCGGACAAACAATGAAGAATCTCATTTACAGTGACAAACAGGACAATTATTTTTTTACTTTTTTTTTGTTAATAAAAACTACATTAAGGTGGCATAGAAAGACTAACAATGATTTTTAAAGTTATATACAAACTACATCTACAGTACAATGTTTCAAAAGCTCAAATAGATGTTTAAGCAAGCATTCTGACACAGTAAGGCATAAAAAAAAAAAAAACAATACTTTACAGTAACTCTGTAACAAGCAGGAAGACCAGCCAAATATCAGTAGCAGTTTAAAAGCAGCACTGCTGTTACACAAGTGTGGTTCCACTCTTTAAGGGACAACCTGTGCAGACAGATGTTCAAGAAGAGGGTAAAAATAGATTAAAGGGCAAACCCAAGAGTGGCAGCAACAGTAACAATTCATGTTACCTGTAGATAGCTCACTGTTATCGGTTAAGGGTGAGCCTGATTGAATTTTTAATAACGCGGAGATTGCTTGTGGGAATTGGGGAAGATGCATCCGGAAGCTCTTTACTAGGTAGTCTCTGAAAACACAAAAGACGGTCAAAACTCATTTCAATTCCGATGTGGACTTCAAATTATGATGATCAGGTTAATTACCTGTGATCTTGATGTATCAATTGTTGGTATTGGCATAGGTTTGGTTGCTGAAAGACCCTCCTATGTCAAAAAACAAAATTGTTTTTGCACTAACATTGTGTGAGGTCTTATTGTGTTTATGCAAGAAAACAGTTTCAGTAACATGAGCCAACTGTGGTCAACACCTGAGAGTAATGCAATAAACAAAACCCTCACCCCTGCTGGCCTCTCTTCACAGTCCAAGCCATTACTATTTGGAGGGTATGGCTCTTTAAACGCAGAGTCATCAGAAAACACCTGAAGCAAAAGATAATTAATTTACATATTAAGACATGCTTAAAGTTTTGAGACTGGATTAAATATTTTGATATTAGTGATCCACAGAAAGGTTGATCAGTTGTAATGGATTTCTTGACTTGTGTATTTTATAAAGAGCTTAGCACCTCTGTATCTTTGTGCCTCTTAGGTGGATCCTCCTGAGATGGAGAGTGAGGTCTCTTTGGTGCTCCATTGACACTGCTGGGCAGCTCAGTGGGGCTAGGGGAGGAAGAGGTAATACGTGGTATCACACTACGGCCCACCACTGTAGGAATGGTGTTGCCAGCGGGAGGTGCTGGGGGCTTGGCAACTGGAGTGGCGATGGGCACTGAAAAAAAGAAAAAATAAATAAATAAAAAGAACTAGATGAGTGGAATCAGAATGAATGCAAAAAAAAACAAACAAACAAAAAACAATTGTGCGTTTCCCCAATAGAAAAACAGGAACAAGTAAGTCCATGATAGCACTTACTGGATCCGATGACTGGAATGGACATTCCCTGTTCTGGTTTTGGAGGAGAAACTTCTGATGTTGCTGGGCTGTCTATGAATACAAGGACTGGATGCTTTGGTGGGGTGATACTACTGACAAAAAAAAAAGGGAAATGAAGAAAAGTTCATACAGAAACAAATTAAAACACTGCTATAAGACACTGCCAGTGAATTAAGTAATTGTAAGTAATTTTAAGTAACAGCATTTTGACATTAATGAATACAAGGACTGGATGCTTTGGTGGGGTGATACTACTGACAAAAAAAAAAAAGGGAAATGAAGAAAAGTTCATACAGAAACAAATTAAAACACTGCTATAAGACACTGCCAGTGAATTAAGTAATTGTAAGTAATTTTAAGTAACAGCATTTTGACATTACAACTAACTCATATTTAAACATTTCTTGTGTTTGAAAATGAGGCCATAAAATTAGCTTGACCACAAAAAAAACATGACACTCTACATGCAGTTTGTGACATTTATAATTTCCGCACTGAAGCAAGAATAGAGTAATAAGTCTTGTTTTCTGTTCCAACCCCTAGAACTTGTAAAGGCTTGCTGGCAGTCAACAGTGATACCATAAACTGAAAATAGCATTTCAGTCCCTTGGACAGGTATTTGAGTCAGGTGGCATAAAATCCTGCAATCTTTCAGAAATTCCTGAGAATCATTTGGTCTGAACTAGCTAAATCACAAAGATTTTGTCCTGATCAATGACACTACCTGTCTTCAGGTGAGGAGACTGGCTGGCATGGTTTGCTGACTAGTGTAGGAGAGCTGAACGGGGTGCCGATATCTGTGTCCCTGGAGCTATCAAGCTGACTGCCATCCAGAGAGCAGCGCTTTGACCCGCCACCATTTGAGCTCCGGTTTATTTCTCCCAAACTCTGCCCAAAAGAGAGATAGGATACAGTTTAGCTTTTTTAGAGACACTATAAACACAGACTTTTTTTTTTACCTTCTTCTTCCTCTGCACAAGTTCAGGAGGCAGGTAATGATGCAACTGTTTCTTTTTCACATGTGTGGCCTCAATAGTCATGCCATCCTTTAGCATATTGATATTGCTTGCCTGCCTGTAAACTACAATGAAACACCACTTTTAGACATTAAAAGACCCCAAGTTTCCACAACTACATCCACAGGACATGAGGATGGTGGAAAACAATAGAAGCTGAGCAGCTTACCAGTATCTGTGAAGGACTGGATGTCGTAGGTCAAGTCAATATTCACACAGTCAGAATTGTCCAGTTTTTTGAAGCTGATTCCAATAAACCACATGGAAACAAATTCATTCCTGTGGAAAAAAAGCGTGCAAATATGCAAATTTATAAGATCTAAAGGTCAATTGAGTAATCTGTATATACAGGCCATTTGATATCAGCATCCGCTGTTGGAAAACTCACACTGGCCGAGCACTCATTCACTGTTGTACTGTTCCATGGCCCCAAAATAAGTATGGGTATTACAAAATGTTGATTAAAGGTAATTTAGGAAGCAAAGCTGAACCCCTGAGCATACTGCTAAAATCAAAATTTCAGTACAATGGTAGAAATGTACTGGTACAACAGTTTGTTTTAACCCAACTGTTCAAACGGCGTTTGTTGGGCCGTGAAATGTCCGAGCAGTGTGATATGATTTTCCAACAAACTCTTGACGTAAACTGACCTGGCCACGAACCGTTGCTATGACAATGAGGCAAGACTGCAAAATAGGTGATTGGCGTGCTTAGCAAATTATAAAAAAAATGGCAAACCGAAACTGATTAGGGACCACCCGAGTAAAATTTTGAAACCTTTGAAAATCTTCCCACTGCAGTTCTCTGCATAAATTCTAGTAGGCACCCTGTCTTCCCCATAGCAGCAATCATGGCTTCACCCACAGCCTCTTTCGTTTTATTCACCGTCTTTTCAGGTCAATTATTAATGGCATAAAATACATTAATAACAGTAAAGTTTTGATTGTGGTTACAGGACTATACACCCCCCCCAGTCAGACTAACTTGACTCGAAGTTTGTCAGTGTCTGTTGGGGCAGTGTGAACATGACAGTTATTCAATTCTAAATCGAACAGCCAACTTGTTCGTTGGCGTTTGTCTGTGCGGTGTGAATTGGCCACAGAACAGTTATAAATCTGACTATTTATATATAACTGACTATAAATAAAGACTATTTTGCATTATTTACAGAAGAATGACCTTCACAAAGATTTGGTTTTGTACCAGAGGCATGTCATGTGATAAAATTGTATAAATCTTATTTATTTTGCTATACATTAATAAAACAAAAACACTATATCATACCATTATGGTGATAAAACATTTTGGTCATGCCACCCACCCATCTGTTACTTACTCATTGTGATTCTCTTTTGATCCGGGAAAAGACTGTGGGTTGACATGGGCAAGGGTGATGTACTCATTGCGCTCCAAATTTCCAACCAACACTCTTATCTTTGATTCCACCAGTCCAATCCTGTTGAGGCCAGAACATCATTATATGAAGATTCTGTGATTCCATACCCAGAACCCAATTATTATTATTTTTTTTTTACCAGAGATGACCTTCACAAAGATTTGGTTTTGTACCAGAGGCATGTCATGTGATAAAATTGTATAAATCTTATTTATTTTGCTATACATTAATAAAACACTATATCATACCATTATGGTGATAAAACATTTTGGTCATGCCACCCACCCATCTGTTACTTACTCATTGTGATTCTCTTTTGATCCGGGAAAAGACTGTGGGTTGACATGGGCAAGGGTGATGTACTCATTGCGCTCCAAATTTCCAACCAACACTCTTATCTTTGATTCCACCAGTCCAATCCTGTTGAGGCCAGAACATCATTATATGAAGATTCTGTGATTCCATACCCAGAATCCAATTATTATTATTTTTTTTTACCAGAGAACTGATTAGAGAGTGTAAATAGAGAATTTGCTAAATATTGAACATTAGGGGTGGAATGGTACATGTATTTGAAAATTTTCTGTATGAACAGAACAAATACAGCGTTGTTTTAACCACTGCATGTGCCGAATCAAATTTGAAACGTCCAGTTTTAAATATTGTTACTGTTCATAGGAAACAAAGCCTCATCTTTTAAATTCCGGCAATTATTATTTTTTTTTCAGGAAGTTCAAGCAATAAATGTCATTTTGACTCTCTTTGATGTGGCGTGATGGCTACGCGGACATCTCGTGACATGTAAATCGCTCACTCAACCACAGAAAGACGTCAACACTACAGCTTGTGAGGAAAAAAAAAGAGTCACATAGCATTACATTTACCTCAGGAAAGACTGAGCATTTCTCTAAATATAAGCCAATATATTCATTATTATATATTACCTGTTAGTGACGTCTAATTATTTAATGTATATTTAAATCAATCTGTCATAAAAACAAATTTTGACAGCCACTGTGTAACCGATTACATTTCATCAATGAATTATAATTTTATAATTAGAGTTAGAAAGTAATGTAAAAACTGGATTATGTGGGATTTACATGTTTTCATACAATTTATTACTTTATTCAAATGTTGATCATTATATCCAAATTTAAATAGCAATTGAATTTAATAATTTGGGCTCCTATAATATTATAGTAATGTGCACGTAATGGGACTCTCTATAGTTTACAGCATTAACTGAGGTAGATTTTTAGCCTGAAGCAAGCCAAACTTTTTTTTTTAAGTCTCTGACACAAATATCAAAATTCCAAAAATGTTTTTGCGCACACAAAAAAAAAAGCAGCCAGAAATTAATTTTGAGTTCTTACCACTCAAGGTGGTTTTCTTCAGTGGATGCACTGGCAGTGAGGACAATGTAGTGCCTGCAAACAAAACAACCAACATTAAAGGAACTGATTGAACTGATCTTTAATATGACACTGTGGATATCCACTTACTTGTACTTCTGGAAAAAGTTGGGAGGTTCAAACAACTTGGACCAATCGGCTTTACCCTGAAGAATTTCATCTGTAACAGTGAGACCTTAAACAGGAAATTTTAAAAAATGAGCAAATGGTCAAGAGAAATGGCCAATAAGAGACAATCTATTACACACCATTCTTGAACTCTTCACTCATGATGGTGCGTGTGGAAGTGGACACGTTGTAGGTAGAGTTCTGTTGTGGATATGCAGGAGTGATGATTGGCATCAGATGATACCTGTCTGATGGATTCACCTAAAAATAAAATGACAAACTGTATAGTGAAAAGTCCAGAAAAACTGTATCTCATTACAATGACCATAAGAATACCAACCCGTGGATCCCAGACTGGCAGATTCAAATTGCTGTCTTCAGGTTGCTTTAAAAGCACAGGGTTTGGCCATTCCCTGATGAAGTAAAATTAGACCAGAAATGCAGTTAGGGGGGGTGAGGTGGGATTGTGGATATTCCATGGCTGCAGGAAAGGACTAGACATTATCAACAAAACAATACGTGAAGTTTCAGTTCCACCATTTGAACACGATGTGCTATGACCTCACCATTTAGAGAAGACCAGAAAGAACTTGTGCACAAGTGTGGCGGCAACAGCATTTGGATAGAGCTGACATGTTCTGGCCACGAGCATAGCCCAGGAAACTCCACCAAGAAAGCCTAGCATGTTGGAATAGATTCCACGGCCTTAAAAAAAACAAACAAATCAGACATGTTATTGAATTGCAGTCTTGACTTGATTTTAGCATGTCAAGCCAAGATTCAGTCAAAAGAGATCAGAAGTCTTGATTTCAAACCAGACAAAAAGCGTCTGAAGGCAAGTTTTAAATCAGACGTACGTTTGGCCCACAATTTAATCGCTCTCAATGTTAATCTGAAGTTCTCTTTATTAGGCACCAAATATAGGATCTCATCTGTAACACGGCAACCTGCAAAACACAAAAATAATAAGTAAAGCTAAAAAAGAACAGACAAATTAGACTATAAATGTGACATTTAAATAAAATGTTAGAGGGCATTACCATTTAGACTGCGAATGCATCTGATGTCCAAGTTTCTGAGGAGAGAGTCTCCTCTCAGGTCCAGGTTATCAGGAATTGACTGTAGAGCGAGCCTGGCAAACAGCAGATCGATCTGGGTGGAGGAGGGGAAAAAAAACAAAACAAACAAAAAAGAAAAGTTTAAAACAAAATATCAACCAGGCTGCATATTAAACACTTCAACTGTTTTACCTCAATTCCATCAAACTTGAACTTGATGACTGGTACAAATGCATCCTCCACAGCCTGAAAAGGAATTATATGGATAAAAGTCACTCTTTTAAACAAAGCAGTGGCAGAGGTATAAATAAGGAACAGAAAAGGTACTCACTCGTAGATCTTTAATCTCATCATGCTGTTTTAGTTTTTCAAAGAAGGATGAAAAAAAGTCAGTTCTTTCAATGTGACGTGGGGCAACACACAAAGCATCTATATCAGCACCTAAAGAAAAAAAACAATTTGATATGCACAATACAGTACATATACCCCTTTATAACAGTGAAGCCTTTCTTAATTTACGGTTGCAGATCTTTAAAAGGTCATTCTGCTGCTCTACAGTACAATCAAGCTCATTAAATGTACCTTTTGTGTGCACTCCCAACCTATATGACCCAAACGTAAAGATTTTGCCACCAACATTTGCTACTGCTGACAGTGGAAGATTCTGTGAGGGAAAAGGGAGGATTCAGAAAAGCATCTCATGTTACTTGGTGATCAGGTCAAGAGACCTGCAGTATTATTTACCTTTGATTCACTGATTTCTGCAATCCACTCCTTCACAAATGAATTCAGCTTCCCAAGAACTGCAAGCCTATAAAACACACAAACACCCTTTTAATGCCTACAAAAACACACAAGACACTGTGCAAAAACTAGTTTGTGGGAGACAATTTATACACCTAATATTGTAATACAAGTTAAAGGATATTTAGTTTAAACCAGCAACAAATCAAACTATGTAAAAAAAAAAAAAAAACATTAGAAGCTAATCTTCTTAAAAAAAAAAAGTTAGTTAAATATGAGGATAAAGTAAAAAAAAAAGTGCTTTCAAAAAGCTGTAACATGACTGTTTTACACAATTTCTTAATGGTCTCAGTGTTTTACCGCTTGCAAAACAAATGCACTTCAGACACCAGGGTATGGTAAGATATTTTACATAGTTTTGTACTTTTATGTACGATAGAGTGCCACTTTTGTTAGAAATCAGGTCTTCCCTTGAAATCGGGTCTCCATTGGGACACCAAGCAATCCCATTGGAGCTAATAATTTTTATCGGGTACTCTCTTTAGCGCCTAAATAAAATTCCTATGAAATCACATTATGATGGTGTATTGTTTGAACTATGGTGTAATGACTATTAATGTCCAACACCTCTCCAAGCGTACGCTACAAGACTAAAGACTTCTGTCCTGTGCACACTCGAGCATCAGTTCTACGGCACTTGAAAACTTGTCAGCCAGATAGCAAACAAATCTGTGGTAGCATGCCTCACAAGTTCACATACCAGAGGAGTGATTCAATGTTGTAGAGTAAAACATGAAAAATTGGCCAATTCACCGCTGACAAGATGGAATTTTAATAAAACTAGGCTGTCTATGCAGTATCTTTTTTAAATGGGTGCTACATGACTTGAGAAAACAGAAAAAGGCTTTGGTGTTCCCTTTCCCCAAAAAGGTTGGGAAACTTCATCACCCATAATGCATTGGGATAATTGCCATCCAAGGTCTCTCTGTCAATCGGACTGTCCATGGGCAGGGATACAAAAATGTGGAAGCACGAGTACACATTTTATTTACACATTCTACTGTGTGGCAATACAAAGCTGGTGAAAATCTTCAAACTTTTAATCATTGTAGTGTGCTTTGCTTTACAGCACTCTATTTTTGTTAAAGATGAGCAGGATAAGGATAAGATGTCCAAAAAATAACAGGTCAATGTCCACTAAAAAAACAAAAACACCACTACACATGTCTGAAAGATATTATCCGGTAAGGATATAAAGATTACTTCAAAGGTTTATGTTAGTACTTTCATCAAAGATACTACACAGTTAGCAACAAAAAGGATTAGGGATGCACGATATATCGGCCACCATATCGGTATCGGCCGATAAATGCTAATTTTTTCTGTTATCGGTATCGGCCTGATAAGAAAATTTGTCCGATATCTTAAAGCCGATAAATAATGCATTATTTCCTTCAGAGACACTTCAGATGCGCGCTGTTCGTTTGCAGCCTTTTGTGCAATTGTACGTTGTAATATTGTGTTTATATATGATGCCTATCTGATTTATCTTGAAGTGTTTGGGATGTGGCTTTTAATGATGAGACCTTTTTTGTAATCAGGCTCTCAAAAAGTATATAACAATTTGGATATAGATTTATCGGCCAACATATCGGTTATCGGCTTTCAAAAATAAAGAATAATCGGTTATTGGTATCGGCCAAAATTTTCATATCGGTGCATCCCTAAAAAGGATCGCAACGGAGAGCAACACATTTAAATAATAAAGCCTCTTTCACCACTGGAAAGCAGTGACTCAATCAGCAAAGTCACATAAATGAAAGCCCTCACCTGTGATTGAGTTCATCTTCACCCTCAAACACGCCAAATGGTTTCATAGCCTCAGTAAGCTTCTGAGTGTAGATATGGTCTATCTCTCTGGGAAAGGCCAGGCTGATTGAAGACGTGATGCCATAATGTTTCCGAGGCTGCTGCCCGCCAAGCGTACTGTCACCAGTCCTGCAAATGAAGACATGATGATGATGACGACAATAATAATAGGCCCATGCTGCACTGTAGACATACTAAATATTTAAAAAATCAAATAGTACGGAGCTCAGAACTACCAGAACATCAACAAAACATGAGCACTTTGCTTATGAAACATTCTCTAATGAGAACTTAAGACAGCACTATATATATGAAAGGTAAAAGAAAAGTGTATGTATGATGGATTGCGCGTGTGTGAGTAATATATATAACTCAATATAAACAATGTCAGACCACATTGTACTTCTACATTCAAATGCGGGTTGTTTAGTGAAACATAAACAAGGACTAAATGAACCGCGTTTACATCCGCCAGCATTGTTTGTGTAAACAAAGACAAGACTACTTGGCGAACACCCCCAAAATACTTGGTTTAAATGCAGTTGACTACAACACATGTGTAGTTAATTACTGTTATGTATGCGAGTGTCTTTTGAATAAAAAAAAAAACACATTCAGGCCGCTTATACGCTAGACTGCATTGTATGACCGTTATATTAATAAACTGGCTAAACTAGCCTAGCACTGCATTTTTCCTCAACAACTAACTCGTTTAACCTACTAATATCACTGGGAAGCACGGAACACTTACGTTGACATCTCTTTCATGACCTTGCGTAGAAATATCCAAATATTTTCAGAACAAACACGCAGAAAACATGTAAACTTAGCCAGCAGCAGCCCCGTCTCAATTTATAACAATAGTTGTTGCTCCAATATGGCGCCCACCGGACAGACATCTCCCGACATGCTCTGCGCCCTGATACGCTCGATGAATGTTTTCTTCTTCTTCTTCTTGTTTTATGGCGAATAACTCCTTAGCAGCATTATCGTCACCTACTGTACTGGATGTCAAGTAAACTTTCATAGGTGATGAGTCTGAAATTTGAGTAAAATGCTTGTGTGAGGGACCCCTCAAATTTTCCAGAATTTTAAAAGAAAGCTTTATATTTTTTTCTATAAAGGTCAAATTTATACTGTGAAAAACGAATGAATAAGTATGTGGAAAATGTTTAGTTTCTATGCTATGTTATACTATGTTTTTTTTTACATGATTTCCCCCTACTAATTCATTATAGTACTATTTGTTATTTATTATTTGTTATTTATTTATTTGTTTATTTTGATCTAATTTATTAATTTTAATATAATTTGTATTATATATATAATACAAATTATATATATATAATTTTATAGTTTATTTAACTTAATATTATTTATTTATTTATTTACTTTGTAATCTTATTTTTAAATCTTATTGTTTATTTATTTTATGTTATTTTTGATTTTTTAAATCTAATTTATTTGTTTTAACATAATTTTTATAATTATTAATAATGATAAATAATAATTTTATAAAACAAAATAATAATTTAATATAGCTACTACTACTACTACTACTACCACACACCCACACACACACACACACACAATTTAAGTCCCCACCGTGACATGAGTCCCCATAAGTCTGTGTGTATTCAGGTTTAAGTCCCCACCAGAATAGAAAAACAGGTACACAC